GTTCTCCTTTGCAAGGGAGTCCTCAGCACGGGGCTGGTGTTACGCTGAAGCAGGAGTATTTCTGCCTGGACAAGAGAGAGGAGCGGGTAAAAGGGACCAGCGGGACACAGAACTGAACACCAGCCTTTTAGGGAAGAGCAGAACTGCTTTCTTTTTAATTTATTCTGGCCCGTGTAACCAAATAGGGTTGGATGCTTCTCCCTTCGCTTGATTTGAAGTCACTGTGACAGCTAGTAGAGTAAGTTACTCTCTTACATGAACAAAATTGCCAGAATCTGGTCTGGAGAATGTTGCCTTTAGAAATGATTAAAACCATATTTGATTTTCTGTGTTATACATCCTTTTTCCTGGTGGGAGATTATTTGATAATATAAATTGCAAAATCCCATGTAAAACCCCACAACGTTACAAGGTAAATATACAAAGAAAAACCCTGAAGTGTGCCATGTTACCTTAAATGAGTGTTGTCCCAATTAACAGAATATCTTTTATTGTCTTGTTTTGATTTCCAAAAGGACTTTTATTCAGCATTAATTCTCAGAAATATTTTTTTTTTAGTAATTAATAATGGAGCAGGCTTTTAGTATCTACCCTGGAAGGTAAAAACCCTTAATCACAGTAACATCATTAGTGCTTTCAAGCATTTAATTTTGATGCTTGACAAAGCACATAGCCATTGATAAGAATAAATAAGTGTTGTTGTGTTCAATTGAGGGAAAAAAGAAAAGCATGAAAACCCCTAAGCTTCAAGTAATTAAATTTAAATATGTTATTTGAATTTAGCTGAGATAATGTACAAACTGTGGGTATATTTTTCAATCAGTGGAAGACCCCTTGAGTAAACATGATCCATTTAAATTCAAATCATGGGGAGTGGAAAGTAAACCCTGCTGTGGTTAAGGCAGCATCTTCACTCCAACACTGGGCATTGGGAATCTTTGATATCCAAATGCTCATGTGTTGTAGGTTTATAAAGGGCTGGTTTCACTCATGGATGCCTACATGCCAGAGACTTTATTGCATCTAGTTATTTCCTTTTTTTTTTTTTCCCCCCTTTTTCCCTCCTCTCCTAATTTGAACCAGTAATGAAAAGCTGACACTCTGCTTCTGCCATCCTTTAAAGTGCCTCAAAACTGTTACAATTCAGCACTCACTAGCCTTGGGATATGGCTTTATGGCATTTGGGTGAAGTTTTTGTAGTACATCTGTGCTCTTGCTCTCTCTGTAGGCCACAAGCTCAGAACCGCAGTAATAAAACTACTAGTAGGTGTTTAATGGCAGGTTATTGAGGAAGTAGATAAAAGAAAATTGCACCATTCACATCAGTAGGGAGTGGGGTTTTTAAGGGAGAGGAACTGCTGAGCTTTGAACTAGAGAAGGCTACACTTGGTGCTTTTCTTCAAGGAGACCCCTTTCTAGGCATCAAAATACCTCATCATTCTTCCCTGTGGAATGGGCTGTTCTGGCAGAAATGGTGCTTGTTGAGTACGGTCTGTGCACGTGGGAGAGAACAACTCGCTGCTGTAAGCAGCAGTGATGGAGAAACAAGTTCTCCTGTAGTGTTCCTTTCCAAATATCAGGGAGTAGGGAGGAGGGAAGTGCAAAGAATGAAAGAAGAAATGATCTGTTGCCCTCTTCCAAAAGTATTATGTGATCTTACTGCAAACATCTGAGTCGTGTCCGTTGTTCTTTTTGGTTAAGCTGTCCTCAGTCTGTTCTGTGTAGGAATGTGTGGATATGATGAGCTGTTAGCCCACGCATATAGGAGAAGATTCTCTCTTTTATTCTGCTTATGATCAAAGCCTCATTGGACAACCTGTTACCTGTATAACTTCACCCCTAAGAGGCAACTTAAAGGCAAAAGGGAGAAGAGCAAAGAATATAAATGATTTTCAGAAGCTCACCCTGAAGGCTGTGACTGCTGCCTGGGTTGCCGTGATCATAGAACCATAGAATCCTTTAGGTTGGAAGAGACCTTTAAGATCATCAAGTCCAACCATCAAGCTGAAATGATGAGCTGGCAGTGGTGATATCCTCTTTGTCCTGGACAATACTGACCAGACTCTTATACCCTTCTGGTAATATGTCCAAGGAGACACAGACCTGATGTTCTTCCAGCTCTTTCAGCTAGCTCAGGTGGTGGATCCTGGAAAACAAGAAATGTGATTTGTAGGGCTGTTTGCAGAAATAAGAGAGAACTGGCTATGGAGGATTTTCTTCCATGCAGTGGGATAACTGTGGTGCTCCCTGTGGCTACTAAGCCCAGTCCTCATGGTGCACAGAGGTGCAGATCACTGTTCTGTTGCACAGAGTATTTTAAGTGTGTGCCACAGAGATGTCAAAGAGCTCTTGGACAGCCTTTTGCAATTCTGGTGCTTCATCCTGTAGCTGGACTTTTCCACCCTTAGGGTTTCTGGGTAGCACATGGAGAGGTGGGACTGGCTCAAAATTCAAAACACAACCAAAAACTCAGAGACAAATAGCTCATTTGCAGAATACAGGACAAAAAAAGGACAAAATGGGGTCATTCTTACAACTGTAATCGTGAGGAGTAACAATGGAGTTGATGTCCACGTCCTCTGCGTGTCCTGGAGGCCAGGAGCAGGTTGTTTATTCCAGTACGGTGCAGTGCCTAAGATGGGCTGCCTGTTTTTGAGAGATGTAAGAGAGTGCTTGTTAAACTGTATACAGCTACTCCTCTTTGACAACAGCCAGGGGTAGTTAATGTGTATTCTGCTGCTGCAAACAGCCGTTTTACAACAGAGCAGAAATGTGTTTTCATACAGCACTTTCCAGCCCGATATTGAAGGACTAGCTAAATTCCAACATAAACGCCTGCAGAAATGAAATGGCAAACCAAGGAGGTTAAAAAGAGGATAAAGGAGAGAAAGTGAACTTTCTCTGTATAATTCTTGAGGCCAGACCAGCATAAGTGGCAGATTTGCAGTGGAAAGAATTGCCTGTCTGCCCTGCATGAGGCACTGATCAGGGAATCAGGTTCCTCTCCAGTTGGTTTATCAGTAACGTCACACGCATGTGTGTGTTTTAGGGCAACAAATCTGATTTCTAATTTCATAGCTGAGCAGTATTCTTACTGCAAAGGGGAAGAGGAAAAGGGTCTGATCCTCTCTGGAGGTTATTAAGCAGGTTCTCAGTCATGCCACAGATCTAAAGTGATGGAGCACACCTGGATCCTCCCTGTTGGCTGCGTTTATAGTCTCCTCTGTCATCCAGGATTTGCCTTTGCATGTGAGAGACAGACAGGGAAAAAGAGAGAAAGGTTCTGGAGGCATTTCTAACAGAGATGCCAAACTGTCAACTAGTAAATCAGGAAGCAGCTCCCTGATGGTTTCACATCAAGAGGAGACACCCTTTTGTGACTGTGCGGCGTCTGCTGGTTATTTTCACTTCCATCAGAACTGTCTGATATGGTCAAGTAGGTTTGAGGCTTTCAACATTCAATTTTCCTTTCATTTCTTGTGACTGTTTTATTTATTTGTCTTTCTGGGTAGTTTTCAAGGATACATGTTTCAAGGGTACTTTTTACCCTTAACATTTTCATGGATTGTCGATCCAAAGTTAAGGGCAGGAAAAGAAACAGAAAGAAATGGGGGGGGGGGGGGGGGGGGGGAAGGGGGCCAGGAGAAAGAATAGTGGGGGTGGGGGGGGGGAGAGCAACGTGGCTATGGCTTCAGGGGACAAAAGAAGAAATATATTCAATTTAGGAAGACCTCTAATCTCTGGTTATACAGGACAGCTTTGTTAGATAAGATTAAAAATTTCATGAATGTCCCTTTTTATCCCTGGAGACTCCGCCATTTATACCAGCTATTGTCAGCATCAAAAGAGCTTGATAACAGCTGGCTGGAGACGTGACCACACAACAACATAACAGCAAGAGAGGGGCAGCCAGGTTCATAAATCTTTAGAAAACCCGTTCCCCCAGCGCAGCCATGAATCTGCTGCTATCACAGGCCAAGGGAGCAGCATTGTCCTCCAGCCCGTCAAAAACCTGAACTTCAGCGTTAGCGGGGGCTCTATTGAAAGTGCGGGTTGCACAGTGAGATGTTTGCCATTATCTTCTTCATTGCAGCCCTTATTACTGCACACAGATACAGTTTAAAGGATCTTTGAGTTTAGCGTGTTGCTAGGTAGAGTTTTACCCTTGGCAGCGTGGTCCTGCTGCTTCTGGTCATCGCATCCATATCGTGCCACGTGGGACGGGGTCAGACGATGCTGCTTGGGTACACGATGGACCCATCTGATATCTTCTGGCTGGGAAGGAGCCATCAAAGCCAGAATCTGTCCCTCGGCCACTGAGCTTCCCCATTCTCCAGGGATTGCTCGCAGCAGGGCAAGTTAGGAAGCACGAATTGGCTCAGACTCCTGAAATACAAGTTTCCTGGTTTTCATGGGAGGATCCGAATTCATGTGTATTCAGCTTTATTCTGGTCTTACTTAATTCAGTGGCAATATTTTCTCACCTTTAGAGAAAGCCAGATTGGTCCCTCAGGAATGTCATTGTTCCTGTAAAGCAAAAAGCTAATGAAGCAACATCAGTTAATTTTAGGAGGTGGAAGAAGAGAATTGCTGTGAACCAAACCAAAAGTACAAGTCTATTCACTGTGCCTAACAAAGGACAAAAATAAGGCAGAATATTTTAGCACCTCAGCCTCTCAACAAGGTTTGGACCTGGGTGTCATGAGCATCGTGGTGTTTGGGCAACTGCACTGTTCCTTCAAAACCCACCTGTCTAGTGTTGCCCAGACTCCAAGAACACGTTTTATTAGAGAGGATTAACTGCAGTTTTGTGAGAGAAAACAGGAAAGACCCTTAATGCTTCTAACCTCTGCCCTGCAAGAAAAATAAAATTTCTAAAAGCGCTCGTGTTGTGAAAGCTATGATTAAAAATACGTGTTCCTCATTCTAACTAAATTATTGCTAATATTTTGTTTGTAACTAAATTATTGCTAATATTTTTTTTTTTTTTCCTCTGACAGCTCCATCCCCAATTGCTTTGATCCAAGCTAAGGAGATAACAAGGCACAGCGTTGCCTTGGCATGGCTGGAACCTGACAGGCCAAATGGAGTCATCCTGGAGTACGAAGTCAAATACTATGAGAAGGTACCATTCAAAAGTGGCCAAGCAAGGGGATTTGTCTGGGCTGGGGGGGAGCTTCTTCCTTCATTCAATTACGGTTTATTTCCAGATAGGATTCCATCAGCTGAAACCACATAGGTTCAGTTTAATAAAATCCAATTAAGGATTTCATGCACTTGAATGGTTACTTGAAAGAATAAGACTTATAGGCTGTTCCAGCTGTATGGTACGAGTTTATTTTGTTATTTTTTTTTTCCTACCTAGGAACTGAGCTTCTGTAGCAAGCATATTTATAATGAGAATCAATAATGTTGGGCAGAAGTGAGACATTAGCTTTACTTCATAGACTGAAGTATAATAATGAACTATATAACACAGTAATAATGATTAGATCTGTTTGCCAATAGCTTCTGCTTCGAGTGATAGCGTGGGCTGGATGACTTTTAATAGAGAATAAGGAAAGAAAATTACATTCCTCAGACTTTCCAAGTTAGAGAGAGATGTTATTCCTGCAGATAACTTCTCAAGTGTGGAACTACGAAGAGAGATATTTTATTTGAAGTTTCTCTGCAAAAATGAACAATTACCTGCTCTTGTTTGTGTGTGGGCTCTCTCACACACATATGCATACTTCTGATTTTTTTTTGATAAAGATTATCACTATTTGCTTCTCTAACACATACAGAAAAAGGTGTCTGATTGGCAGGGGAGCTAGATTATTGCATTTTCTGATAGATTTTCTGGCTGAAAATAGAACAATTTTTAAGTTGGCCTTTCTAGAAGACATTTTCCAAGTCTTTTCTTTATTAAAATATTTTTATCTTTTTTTTTTTTTTTTATATGTCTCCTGGCTGATAGGAGGAAAAATAAAGTGCCAGCATTTATGAGTAAAATGTTGCTTGTTCATCAAGAGGCAACTTTGAAGCTTGAAACATTGAAGGCTTGGCTATTTTCCAAAGGATTTCATTGCGTGATTTCTTAAATAATCAGTGATATATGAGCATCATACCTCCCAGCTCATCATCCTTTTTTTGACTTGCTCAGAGCTCCGTGCAGCACGCAACGCTGGGGGCACTGAGCAAGGCCCTCAGGACCTATTTGGAGAATTCCATCCTTGTTACTCAGCTCCTTTCATCGGGACAGTCTTGGCAAGGAGGTGGTTTTTTACACCATCACCCCTGTGTTCTCTCCTTGTCAGGACCAAAACGAGCGCAGCTACCGCATTGTGAAGACGGCCTCCAGGAACACGGACATCAAAGGCTTGAACCCCCTCACCTCCTATGTGTTCCACGTGAGGGCCAGGACGGCAGCAGGGTATGGAGACTTCAGTGGACCTTTTGAGTTCACAACCAACACAGGTAATGACAAACACCACTGGTTTCTTTTCTCCTCTGAGCAAAGAGTGCAGATGTAACTGGACCCTCTGATGGGACTTTCCCGCTGGGTGCTTGGACTGTGGTGTGTCTGTTCTGGGAAAATATTCTTCCATGGATGCCATGAATCTAACCCAAGCCATCTATTTGGGCATGCTATATTGTAGATTCCAGCCATGAAAATACTTCAGCGTGGAAACAGGCACCTTATAAACATTTGAAAGCTGTTGGTGCTTGAGACATTCATGTACCTATTTTTCATGTACAGGTTTTGGGGCTGTCTTGTTTGCAGGAGAATAGAACCTTGTTACTCCACTCTGCAAGCTATTGACATAGATCACTTACGTGTCCCCCATCAGCTCATGTATTTATCACTTTTCCTTAGACAATCATACAAAGACAGAATGTTCAAATTGCATTGTCAGTAGAGCTTTTCACTTTGCTCAAGGAAACGTGCAAATTTAGCCCCGAAAATGTTTGCTTTCTGGTGATGGGAAGGCAATGTAACTAAGCCTATTTTATTTTGGACATACTGATCTCCTTAAATCATTTTAAGGTCATGCCAGTAAGTGGCAACACCCTTCAGAATTTTAACAGCTGAAAATAATCCAATCCAGCAGGAAGAGGGTAGACATTTTAAAATAACTTGTTCTCTCTGTGTCAGTTGGGGAGTGATCATCTGGCCCCACTGAGAGAAAAAGCAGGAAGAAAGAAGAGTGGAAAGCAATTAAAAAGGAAAAAAAAAAAATAGCTGGTATACCTCTGAGCAAGGCTGAAGGGGAGAGGGAGAGGAAGTCCTTGTTCCCAGTGAACTGAAGTTCCCAAAATCATTATCAAACATCATGTCTTCAGCTAATTAGGGCCCTGTTGGAAAATAGTGTCAAATAACTATATAATAAAGGCCTGAAAGTAAACTTGAGTGCTACTCTAAACTGCCTTCACAAGCCATTAGGCCTCACTGAGTGCTACCTAGGTTGATTTTTTTGAGGGTGTCTGACACTAATGCTCCCTTTTCTGTCTCCAGTTCCTTCCCCCATCATTGGCGATGGTACCAATCCCACAGTGCTCCTTGTCTCAGTGGCTGGCAGTGTTGTTCTTGTGGTCATTCTCATCGCAGCCTTTGTCATCAGCAGGAGGTAAGAACTTAAGCTTCTCTCTCCCTCTCTCTCTTTCATGAGGGAGCTTTTTGTCTCCTCCAAACAAAGCTAAATTCTTTGATTAGCATCATAAACAGTGCATTTGCATTACAAGCCTTCTCCCATGTAGCTTTGATCTTCTCAACATTAGTACCAAGCAGCATGTGATGTAATGGCAATAGTTCCAGCTCTATTTGCCCTTCAAATGCAAAGCTGATCCCAATAACTGGCATTGAGAAGGGAGCCAGATAGAGATTTGTGGTTAGTGTAATGTGAAGTTAAGTTTAATGGGTATGGGTACAGTAGGTTTTCTTGGACTGACTCCTGATAGCAGGGAATACACAACTGCAGTGTTGTGAGCTATGCCGTTGGGCTGCTATGCTTGCAATTTTTGTGTAGGTCTGTATGAGCCTGCATTAGTTTTTTGGGTTAGTCCTTCCAGCTTGAGAGGGTATGACTGCAGAGCAGAAGCCACAGCCGTTCAGTTCTGAGATAAAACTGGACCTATCAGTGCTGCATCTGAAGCCTGGGGTCTGAGGGATGCACGTTTGGTCAGGCTCTGTTGATCTGTCTAATGGCATCAGCCATAAAAGTGCACAAATGTCTCCTGATTTGCTCTCTTACTTTAAAATTGTCTTAAAGAGCAGTTAAGCCACTGATGGTAATACCTGGCGAGGAGACATGCCTTGTTGAAGCTTTCTCTGGTGGATGTTCAACTCAAAGCCTCCATGCTGACAGGAAGAAGGAAGAGCAGAAGATATGAAAATGTAATGCAGAGAGACAGGTTTATTAAAAGCCATTGCAACAGAAAATAGCATCACTGAGCTTGATGACTTAATCTCCTCTCCGCTTTTATTGATCACTTTATTATTTAAGGCAGGATTGATAGCAGGATACATTGGATTTCTAATTATGAGTCGCCACCTTGGAGAATTGAGCCTGTCGAGCTGCTTGGAGATGATTCCTTCTCCTCCTCCCCCTATAAAAAACCCGTTGCTTCCCAAGGCTGATAAGCACTACTTGGTGATTGGCCCTCAATGGATCACTTTTTAGAAAATGAAATGTCAACCCCTTGCCCTCATATTGATTCTCTTTAGTGTCGGCCATAAAGCTGTCAGAGGAAAGGCTGCCTGGAGCCAGGGAGCTGACAGGCTCGTGGTGCTGGGGCAGGTCCTCTCACCACCCAGGCTGTCTCCTCAGTTATCTCTGCCCACAGGTGGGCGACTCCCACAAAGACAAAACAAAGAGCAAGTGGGCAAGAAGGACAAAGAGCTGGTCCAGGCACTGGTGGAGTGGAGATAAAAGTGTCCTGCTGGCCATGGGTTCAGAGGTGTCCCGAGGCCCTGCACTCGTGGGTCTCAGGGGGGCTGTGGAAGGGGAGAGGTGTAGTGAGAGGAATGAGATACTAGGATGGTGAAACTGCTCTGGGCATACTGACGTGTGGGTCTTTCCTAGTTAACAGCCTTCCTCCATACACAGCTCTCCAGTAGCTGGAAGCAGCTCTCAATAAACAGAATCCGCTTTAATACTCATGATTACTCAAATGATTTTAACCACTTCACCAATGTCATTTAGAGGTGTGGGCTTTGGGGATATTTCATGATGTTCCTACACCAGCAGAAGTTAATAGCAAAATAATTATACTTTGTTCCAAAATTACTTCAGAGGAGAAAAAGCTTTTCTGCCCATACAGTCCCTGTGAGGAGGTTTTGTAATCTAGGCATGACCTAAAAGTCCCATTTGTACAGTCAAACCCGTGGCCTCTCTGCAGGCCTGAGCCAGTCGTGGCAATGGGGCATATGCTGTAGGTGCCCACTTTTGAACCCTGCTCAGCTACTACTGATTTAGCATTCTGTTTTTTCAAGTCATTGCTTAAATCTCAAAATCCATCCTTACAGTGGGTTGAAGGACTTTGCCTTCAGGCAGCTCAAACTGTTTGGGTCCATCCTGTGACCACAGTGTTTGCGTTAGCCTGAGAGCTAATCAGCCTAAAGGTTAGTTTAAAGTTCCTGAGGTTAAGATGAGTATATCCACACAGTGGAGTGCAGGAGGTAACTTGAGTGTTCCTAAATCCTGCCTTGCAGGAGCATTGAGTGAGATTACAATATCTCCAACAGAGTTGGAACGGACTTGGGAAAGAACAGAAAGAGCCACTTTTGGAAAGGGCTGAGGTGGAGTAAGATGTCCCTACAGAATCCTCTGATCATCTAAAAGTGTCTGTTGGCAATTCTTCCAATGGATAGATTGATTTATTTTCTGCTCTGTCAATAGCTGAGTGCATTTCACAGAATCCCAGCATGGTGGGGTTGAAAGGGTCTTCTGGAGATCATCCAGAGCTCCAGCAGGTCACCCACAGCAGGGTGCCCAGGGTCACATCCAGGAGGGTTTGGAATCTCTCCAGAGAAGGAGACTCTACCACCTCTCTTGGCAGCCTGCTCCAGGCTCTGCTACCTTCACAGGAAAGAAGCTTCTTCTCCTGTTCAGGTGGAACCTCCTGGGTTCCAGTTTGTGCCTGTTTCCCTTTGTCCTGTCGGTGGGCACCACTGACAAGAGTCTGGCCCTGTCTTCTTGCTCCCTGTGGGCCCTTTTAGCTGTTCATCAGCATTGATCAGATTCCCTCTGAATCTTCCTTTCTCCAGGCTCAACTGCCCCAGGGCTCTCAGCCTTTCCTCATCCCAGAGATTCTCCAGTCCCACCAGCATCTTGGTAGCCTCTGCTGGACCCTCTCCAGTAGCTCCTTGTCCCCGTTGACATGGGGAGCCCAGAGCTGGCCACAGTACTCCAGATGTGATGCACCTTTGCTGACGGTGTCAGGTCAGGTCCACCAGCCTGGCACCTGAGCCCTGCTGCACCCCCAGCCCCTCTTTTGTGTGGGAGGAGGAGGTGGGAGCACTGGTGCAGCACCAGGTCTGTGCTGCTTCACCTCACTGTCTACTCACACCCTCCTCTTCATCCCCAGCCCCCCTGCCCGGTAGGCACATCTGCATGTGCCTCTGAGCCCTGCCGTTTCTGAAAGCTTCTGTGTTCTTTTCCTGAATGGTGGCTCTTTAATCTCCATGGCCCAAATCCCTGGAATTAGGGGGTTCAGGTGGGTGACAAAGGCCCCTGCTGCCCCACAGGTGAGCTGCCTGTGGTGTGGGGCTCCTGGAGACAATGGCAGACAGGGGCGTCCTGCCCCCAGCCAAGCGGGAGAGGTCAGCAGGTGACACGGGGAGAAATGGAAGTAGGTAGTTAGTTTGGAAGGTATTATTTAAACTTAATAAGCTGCAATTATATTGCTTGAACAATAATCCCTTTGTTTCCCTTCTCTTTTTGCATGTCTTTGGGTTCTAGTGGGGGAAGGTGATTTTTTGTGTCTGTTGTTAGGGTGCTTGTACTTTTATAAATAAGATAAAGAGCATTTTTTTCCTACTTAAAATGCTTCTGTGCAAAGCCTGTTTGTTTCCTCATAGCTCCCATCTGTGCCTGAATGTTAATAAAATGAAATCGAAGGGGTCCTGCTTAAAATGCAGAATCTTTGGTTTGGTTTTTTTTTTTCCTTTTTTTCTTTCCTCCGAGCAACTTTGTATAATACCTGAAACCATCTCTGCAATCCCCTTAGCTGGCTTGGTCCCGTGTGGCCCTGGGTAAGATTTCTGCTGCCTCTTCCTTCATACTCATTTCAGCAACTGTGAGCAGAACATAGTCCTTTAACTCAGCTCTGTTAAACCTGTGCTGTAAGTCCTCGGGCAAATAAATGGTTTAAATTGATGTTGGGATCCAGTGTGGTTTTTAATAATGCTTTTCTTGTGATTTGGAGTCATTTGCGTTTAATTGACTTTCATCAAGAGAAGAAGCTCCCAACCATTTATGGTTGGACATGTACCTGCTTTGTATGTCTGAGCTCAGGTCTCGTTGGTGTTGCTGGGAGCTGTTTCTTCCTGTTATCTGCCATTTCTTGACCCCTTTTGACTCGCATCTCCCAATAGGTCTTCCCCTCACCCACTCCCCTTTTTCTCCTCCACCCATTCACCATTTTCAGACCGTTAACCTCCTGAGGCACAGGTAGGTTTTTGGTTCCCTCGATGCTTTGTTGATGCCAATAACACTTAGAGCAGTTTGAGGAGAGGAGTCTCCTGCCCTGCTGGTAAGTGTACGTTGTGTCACGGGCTGCTGGAGGGGAGCTGCTGAGCACAGGTCGTGGCAGGTGCGAGCAGCTCAAGTCTCAGCAGGTCAAGAAGACTGAGTTTGTCTCCAAGTAAAAGCTTATTTTGAACTGCACTGCTCTTTTCTGTTCTGACAGGCGCAGTAAGTACAGTAAGGCTAAGCAAGAGGCAGACGAGGAGAAGCATTTGAACCAAGGTAAAAGGCAGTGGTGCTTGGGTTCTTTGATTTGGTTCATAAGACATGTCCCGTGTTGTGGTGATTGGGAAATAAGGGATGGCTTTCCTTTGGAGATGAATAAGTTTGTGGTTTCCTCTGTTGCAAACATCCTCCTTCACAACTATGTACTGTAGTGACAGGGCAGATAGGAGTACGTGGGTAAAAAGTTTGAAGAGGACAGACAGGAAGAAGGTTCATCTTCCAGATTTTTCCATTGTCCCGTTCCATTGAAAGACATCTGTTCTTGGCTGGTGATATCCAGGCGAGGTTTTTTCCAAAAAAAAACTCTGCTAAAGCTGTTTCTGGATGGACCAGAGTCCATCCTTCAGGAAAGGGAACCTGAACTTTGCTGCCTTTTTTCCAGGACTGAATCGTACTGCTATTTCCATCTCAGTCATCCAGGTACCAAACCTAGGACCTGAGCTCGGAATTTCTGGCCTCCCAAAATGGAAATGGGATGTGGTTTAGTCAGAGAGAGGCTATCAGCCTGTTAGTGATGGGAGGGATTTGTGAAGCTCATTCAGTGGCAAAAGCCTGATTCCCTACATCAACATTGGGAAATATTAAATGTTTACATTAAAAAAATTTGGGAAAAAAATACTTGAAGCTCTTCCTCCTGTCGTCATCCTTCCTGGCTCAGAGAGCATTTTTATTGTACACTCTCTTTGCTGTTGTATATCATTAAGGCTTCAGTCTCATATGTTCTGCGTTCAGCAGCATGTAGATCAGCGACTTCAAATAAAACATTTCTGCCTTGCAGGTGTTAGAACATATGTGGATCCTTTTACATACGAGGATCCAAACCAAGCTGTGAGGGAATTTGCCAAAGAAATCGATGCCTCCTGCATAAAGATTGAAAAAGTTATTGGTGTGGGTAAGTGCCAGAACTTTTGCAATTCTTTTTCTGTAAATACGGTTTTAAATTTGCTTTTAGGAAGCATGGGATCCTATGAGTTTTGTGTGACAGTTCCCCAAATGAACTGATGTAAGCTTGACAACCCAAGTGCATGCTTCGTCTTCATGACTGTGGATTCTTCTGCCTTTTTCCTTAAGGGGAATTTGGTGAGGTGTGCAGTGGACGTCTCAAGGTACCTGGAAAAAGAGAGATCTGTGTTGCTATCAAGACTCTAAAAGCTGGTTACACTGATAAACAAAGGAGAGACTTCCTGAGTGAGGCCAGCATCATGGGACAATTTGACCACCCCAATATCATCCACTTGGAAGGTGTAGTTACTAAATGTAAGTAGGTCATTTTCATGACAAGGCCAATTTGGAAGGCACTGAGAAATTAAGTCTGTGGTGCTGTGTGCTGATTTCATTTTTTTTTTCACCCTCTTTCCTGCGGAATGACAGATGGAACAGATCCACTGATAGCTAATAGGAGGAAATCAGTGCAGGACAAGTCATTAATCTTGTTGTCAGCTATAAATGGGTTTATGGTTTCAGCTGATACTCTATCTGTAGGCAGCTTGTACAAGATTTTGTAGGGGGAATTAATACTGCAGGGGTGAGGGTTTTTTTCACCCCCCCCTTCTTGCTATGCCAAGCAGGCATCTTTCACATCTTTGTTAGGCTGAGCTGGTTGTTACAGGATAGGCAAAAGCAGATGGTGAGCAAAGAATTTCAAATGGTTGGGGGAAAAATACCAAAACAAAACTACAGAATCATACGTTTAAGATACAAAGCACAGCTGTAAGGAGCAAGCCTTTGAAATGAAGCTGGCTGTTTTAGCATGAAACTTGCTTGTTTATTTTTTCTGTTTTACAGGTGTTCACTCTGCAGAACTTCCCTGGCCAATCTTTTTCTGTTTGGTTGGTTTGGGGGTTGTGTTAATTCTCTTCACGTTCACTGCACCGTGAACCCTGCCTTAGAAAGAGAAAGCCATCAAAACCCTCTTCCTCCTGAGTGCTGGGGTGGAGCTGGCTGCTCACTCTGCCTCTGGTGCTTCTGGAGGTCTTACCTGTACTCACTTGTGTCCCCCTCTCCTGGTCTGCCTTCCCTCATAGCTGTTGAAAGTGGCTCATGCAGCATCATGAAAAGCTCTGTTTGCTTTTCAAGATGAATTCTCCTAGGGAAAAATAGGGGTTTGGACTTGTTTTGCCCACTGTTTACTGAGGGCATCGCTCAAAACTGAAATTAAAGGATACTTTGGAGGTCTGATGCTCTTTGCGTTGTTGTAACAAAGAGGGGGAGGTGGGTTGTGGTCAGGCCAGAGCATTGCTCCAGACGGTGAGTTTTTTTAACAGAAAGTCAACAGGGGAATCTTTGCACAGAAATCCCACCGAGGCTGGAAATCCCTGAGCTATTCCAGGAGTTCTAAATGACTGTATGCATTTGCATAATGCAGTTGTCACTGAATTAAAATGATTTGGAATTTTCACCGAGGAGGTGGTAGCCTGACCCAGGAGCGTTTCCAGCCGGCTCGGTTACCTCGGAGCTGGTGTGCTTGGTAAACAGGGCTGCTTAAGAAGGCATTTATCTCCATTTCTCCATAGGTTTTCTGAATGCTGTGATAAATGAATGCAGTTAATAAACTGAAAATTAAAATGTGAGATAAATAGTGGTGTAGATTGAGTTGCAGAGAGGCAGCAAAAAAACCATGAATACATTATTGGCTGCTAGTCAAGTACTTTAATAATTGACTCGCTGATGGTAACTTCTCTCTATCCCCCACCCCTGCTAAAGAGGTGCCTGAGTAATGAAATTACACATTAATGCACTGAAAGAGTCTCCTTTTCTTCCTTTCTACGTTGACATAGTATCTTTTGATTGAGGAAGGTTAATTAAAACTCATTTAGCTATATTTGTTCAGTGGAAGGGTTGTGGTCCCAGTTGCAAAGGGTAAATGGGAGAGTGAAATATGCAGATTTGGTTGGAGTTTTTTTTTCTCTTTCTACCAAAGAATGCTTGCAAAGGTGAATTAGAGGGAGAGTGATGTTTTCTCACATCCCTTTCTTTAAGGTTGCAAATACTCAGCCAAGGTCATTGAGCCCTTCATCCAGAGCAGTTTGTTTCATGCAATGCCATCGCTTCTCTGCTTTGTTCATGCAAATCAGAGAGGGTGCAGCTGCCAGATGGGCACCTCATGGGCATGCCAGGGTGAGCAAAACAGGACGAGGTTTCATGTCAGCTGGGAAGGGAAGGAGAAGCAGGAATAGTAAAAGGCCTGAAAAGGATAGGTTAGGACTGAAAAGCTGAAATAAGTAATGAGTGAAATAAGTGATATATCGCCCAGAGCTCTGGGCCTAAGTGAAATGATGTAAAATTTTCATTACAGCCAGTCCTTCTAGCATATTGTATTCTCATCAAAAACAAGGTTACTTCAAAAACAGAAATCCCTGGCAAATGAAGAGAAAAGCATCTTGGTGAAAAACGCACTGAGGTGGAAATGATTAGAGGAGCTTTCAATGCTGCAGCATTTCATGGTAGGGTAATTTTCATAGCTGGTTGTTCTGGAGCAGACGCTTACTGGTGTTAGAAGCAAGGAGAAGTTGAGTAGTTCTGATGGGAAGACAGAACTGAGCTGTCTACAGTCTAGGTGACGTGTCCATCGAACTCTTCTTTCACCATAACATTCCCTTATTCAGAGCTGCTCCGGGAGGTACAGAAGCAGAGTTTCTGTGGGACACTGTCTTTTATTTGGGAAAAGGCTCTGTAGCTCCTGTAGCTAAAGGAGGACTGGGAGGAAGGGTCGACCCGCCGGCCTGGCACAGGTCATCAGGGGCTCCCTTGGCTTCAGGTGGGCTTAACAGTGCTGGGCTTGAGATTGGGCTTTTGCCATTCACTCCTCTACGTCTCCCTCCATTGCTCATATTTAGATATGTAGATATTTAGATATTGAACCTATTCCTGCAAATAACTAAATGCTGACTCTCCAACACGATTTAACCCCGTGGAATGATTAGTGTTACTTATATGTATCTAAATGTTTTCAGTTTCAGCATTGTGTGACTTCGTAAAGCTCTCAAAGACAACAGCAAGCATCATTTATGTATTTGCTGCTGTTTTAGGCAGGAGAGTGCCTAGAAAGCATCCCCCTTCAAATAGGACCATCACATTCCATTTCTGCTCAGACTGCCCAGCTCGGCTCTCTGCGTCTCAGCGCGGAGAGCTGAGTGCTGCTGAAGCACAGTGCCCCACGTGTGACACACTTCATTGAATCATTTATTGCTTGACTTCACGAGGCAAATGGCTTTGGCTCATTTATAAATAACGAGAGACACGGGATACAAATTCGGGACAGAGAAAGTTGAGAGGAACAGCTTGTATTTTGCATTCTGGAATCCAGTTGTCTTGGAGTTCCTCGTAGCAGCTGACAGCTTCTAACTTGCCCGAAGCGTTGATCTTTCGAAAGAGGCAGAGAGACCAAAGCATTCCCAAATTCCATTTTGAAAGAGGAAGTCTTTCTAGTCTGCAAGCAATTTAATTACACTAAAGATTTTTGTCAAGTGTGAACAGATCTTTATTTCTTAGCTTTCAATTATCAGTTCATGTATTCCTTAGAGAACAGGAGCCACTTTAGTTAAAGACCTTGTCAATGAGTCAGCCAAAGGGTTAACCTTCCAGATGGGGCCTTTTAAATGTTTCTGTCCTATAATATTTCTTCTCTTGCTCCCCACAGCTGAGGCATAAGCTTGGTGCTTTTCAAATTAAATTAGATTGTGTAAGCCAGGTGTCTTGGCAGTAAAATCATGTGCAACCCATTTTTATCCCATTAACATCGGCGTTCATCAAGGAATTATGTTTTTCTTTCTGTGAACTCTAGGTAAACCGGTAATGATCATCACTGAGTACATGGAGAATGGCTCCTTGGATGCCTTCCTCAGGGTAGGTGATTTCTTTGTAATAAGCTAAAGAGAATTTATACTGGGAAACATTTTCTGCTTTTCATTCTGGTGCCTTTTTTTTTTCAGAAAGATATTGAAAATTCAGCATTTTTAATAAATCATGCTTGTACTTGGGAAATTCTGTTTTCTGGTGTTGCTCCTATCGAAAATCTGAACAAATGGAAAGTGGAAGAATATAGAATAAATATGATGTTTAAGATAGCAAGGTCTTAAATATTCCACGTTTATTGGACACATTTCTGATTTGCTCAATTTTTGAAAGCATCACAACCCTGTAGGCTCCTTAAAACCAAATGCATTGTAAACCAGCTACTGCATCCCGGGAAGCTGTGACAGAACCTCTGGGTTTTTACTTTTCTGCTGAATTATAGACACTGCTCATGAGAGAGTGAGGAAATCACGTTGCATTTTGTTGGAGAGAAGATTGGGATGCAGGGATCTGCTCTTTGCCCATTTCAGCAATGGCAATAATGTGGCTTTTAGCTTAATGCTCTGCAATTTTCTTCCTTGCCCCATACGCAGAAGAACGATGGCAGGTTTACAGTCATCCAGCTGGTGGGGATGCTTCGTGGCATTGGCTCGGGGATGAAGTATCTGTCTGACATGAGCTATGTGCACCGGGACCTAGCTGCTCGAAACATACTGGTCAACAGCAACCTGGTCTGCAAAGTGTCTGACTTTGGCATGTCCCGGGTCCTGGAAGATGACCCTGAAGCAGCTTATACCACCCGGGTAAGGAGGGAGAGAAAACATCCAGTGGGGTTTTTTTTTTCAGCCTACATATTGATTTTGTCTGACCACATGGGAGGGGGGCAATGGTTTGTTTTGAAATAATCTCAGTCAGAAGTGAAACCTGTATTGCAACCTAAAAATAAATGTGCTCCAACTCCATAGCTGGTATAAACTGATGTAGTGTTATTGCTACATCAGTCTTTCTTCTCTGAGGATGTGACCCGTGTCTTCCTTTGATTCCTTCAGTGTGCTAGACTGCATGACAGGAATCTGATGCCAGAAGTTAGAGCTTAGGCTTCTATTCCTCCTGATGTCTGCAGACATGCATAATGAGTTCCAAGTGGCTAGTCCCACTGAAGTTTGACACTGCATGTATAGATCCAGCCACCAAAAAAACCCCCAAAACCTAAATCCACTTTTGCGCATCTCGAAGTCAGTCATAAATCTGACATATGTAATTTGGACTGGGAAAGGTGTGAGGCCTGCGTTCCTAGTTTCTGTTTCTCTCCCAATTTCAGCCATCCCACTGTTAACTAATTTTGCTAAAGCCATTTTAATATGCTGTGTGTGGCACAGTACTAGTTCAAGTCCTTCTGGCCACAGAACAACATCCCACCCAGGCTTTGTACCAATACCTCTGTAATTAACATGCGTGTGATGAAAAGTAAGTTCAGAGTTTATAAAGTCTCCTTTTTTTAATTGCTTATTTTCTTCGTTTTTAAATATCTGCCATTCTCCATCTGTTCTCCCTAGTGCAGAGTTTGTTTGCAGCGCTCAGATTTTGCAGTTTAATCCCAACACTCATCCTTTAATGGATTCACAGTTTATTACAGGGAAGGGTAGACTCGTGTAGCATTAAATGCTGGCCAGCCTCGGTTATTTCTCACTCTTAAGGGTGGCAAGTGGAAGAAGCAGAAGCAAGAGGTCTGAAAAGCTGTATTCAGGGAAATCAAAGATTAGACAAACACAAAGGCAAGACAGAAATGGCTGAAAAGCTTCCCTTTGAATTCGGTGAGTGGAGATATAGTATTATGTTTGCTCTCAAGAGTAAACTACAGGGAATCAATGACATTTGCTTTACAGTGCATTGTCTTCATTTGGTATCAGTAATGAAGGATCAGGAAAATTTGGATGAGCTCCACTGTACTCGAGCAGCTAAATATAAAGAGCTTATTGACAATTTCTAGAATGACAAGCACACATAAACAATGTGTCTGACAGGAGGGACAGAGCTTTTCCAGAACCAGAGACGATGCAATAAGAGGCAATTTTTAAATCATCCTTTCTCAAGAGCATGGTGTATTCTGCTCCCTGTTAGCGCTAGAACTCCTTCAAGTGAGGACATCCTATAGCCACACAGGGCTTGTGCTGCTACACCATGACTCACAGAGGCCAAGGAAGGCAGGAGAAGGACCCCTTTTGATTTTGCAAGGCTTTGGAACAAGTCCATATTAAACACTTGAGAGAGAGATTAGAACAATAAACCATTAAGTATGCACACGCTGCTCTCAGTTGTGGATGAAAACTATCGAGAAGATTGCTGAGAAAGAACCTACCAAAATAAACTTCATCAAAAAAGCATAAAAGCAAATGAAAAAAAAAATATCAACCTAAAACCATTGTTCAGCCTAAGTTGTTCCCCAGATGGAACAGCAGGAAACCAAAAAGCTCAATTAAAAACACCTTGCATATTAGCATAAACAAAAGGAGAAGTCTCTGGCCTGGGATCACTCAGCTAAGGCAATATCAGATGAACAGGACGGAGTGAGTTCCTTTTAAAACGGTTCAGGACCTCACTGGCCCAAATTGGATGCCTGAGTGGTTTTATTTCTTTAGAAGGAAGTTTTGTCACAAGAGGCAGCTCTCTCCAGAGGTATCAGAGCAGCTCTGCAGCGTGGTCTGAGGCTGGACCCGTCCCAGGGGTGCGGGAATTGCCCAGAGGCTTGCTCGCCGTCTCACACCTCTGGCAGGAGCTGGGATGCTGCCCATGGGAAACACCACAGTCTTCTTAAATCTTCCCAGTTGATCCTCTCTTTCTTTTACCTTTTTGAAAAGCAAAATGTTTGTAATCCCATTTTTCCGAAACAGGCCAAACGGGTCTGGCAGGCGGGCAAGGAAGTAGTAATTAACTGCGTGTACTTATTTGTTTTGTCAACTAGATCTCTACCCTATACTTTGTAAAACCCCTGGCTTGTTCTCATGCTTCAGCGTAGCCCTAAGCAGAGCTCTCTTAGAGGGCTGATAAAAACTCATTTAACAATTGCCTGGTTCACCTCCTTGTGACTAAAGAAAACAGCTGGGCAGCCTTGCCTCCTGGTTGGACCTGAGAGCTTTGTGGCAAGACAAAGAGAAAGCGGTTGCCTTTCTGAGAAGGATTCTGGATTTGTGTACGGAAAAGCATTTTGTGTTTCTGCTGGCAGTGGAGAAGACAGCCAGGCACACGTTACTGGGGCAGTGACTCAGGAGCATGGGGTTTCTTTTCTTGGTGGCAGGGTGGAAAGATCCCCATCAGATGGACTGCACCAGAGGCCATCGCCTACCGAAAATTCACCTCGGCAAGTGACGTGTGGAGCTACGGCATCGTCATGTGGGAGGTGATGTCCTACGGAGAGAGACCCTACTGGGACATGTCCAATCAAGATGTGAGTCTCCTCAGCTTCCTCCTCCTTTGCTCGCCCTTCCCTCCCACACCTTTGTCTTTGTCCTTAGATGTCTGCTGGTGCATTTTTGAGTCAGTTGCTGTATGATTGTAAAGCATTTACTCCAGGCTTTTATAAGGACATCATGGGTGGTAGATTCCTCTTTTCTCTGGGAACCTCTCTGGATTGAAAGCCTCTTTGAATACTTCAGGCCTGCTGTATGGTCAGGGAATAGGGGATTCTCAAGTTAGGGGCTTTAATATGTATCTTTTTTCCTTTATTTTTCTTCTTCTTTTTTTTTAATTTTAGGAAAAATATTATAAGCAGTTAAAATAAGAAAGAAGAATGGAGGAAAGGGCAATGAAAATATTTAAACTGTCAGATTGTAATACTGTCAAGAGAGGGAAGATTTCAATGTTGATATTAAATCCTAACTTTATTGAAAGCCTTTAAGAAAAAACACTTTAATTTAATGGGGCTTCCTATTACTAGTTAATTCTTCAACCCCCAGCATGCTTGTAATTCTTCCAGATGATTTTATTACTTGTAGGATATCTGAAACAACACGTAGGAAATCCAATTCTGTTTATCTGTCAGAGCATCCTTGTGACAATTGCAGAGCTGCCTCCCGAGGACATTAAAAAGCAGCTTTGCTAAATGGCCATTCTTAAATTATGCATGTCCTGTTTAACCGAACCATCTGGGCTACTCCAGTGTATTCCAAGAGGGATCATGCACAGTGGCTGCTCTTCCAGAAGAGTATTTAATAATAATGCTAATAAGAGCCTTTCCTAATAGAATTTTTATTAAATGGGGGGAAAAAAAAATCCCAGTGAAAATGAGACATAGATTATCCATAATTCTTTTCCCAGGGGATTTGCAAACGTATAAAGGAAGAAGAAAATGTTATTCTGAATATATGGGCATGGGAGTGGTTAAGTCATTTTACAAGTCATCTGCTTTCTTATGTGGAGCTCAACGTTTTCAAAGAGTGTCTAGATGTGGATGGCATTTAATCTAAACGGGGGATATAATTTTAATGTCCTTCTGATGTGAAATGTCTCTTCTGGCACCCAAGCTTGCCTTCCTTTGCTAACAGGAAGTCATCAAGACTTAGCAAGAAAATAAAACACCAGATGTGTCTCGGTTATGTTGGGCATGTCTACAGAGCACAGCAGAGCAGCAAACACAGAGCTAGACCATCTCGAAACACTTCCTGGAAAGGGAGAGGAAAAGCCAGTATTGCTCTTTCTGCAGCCTCCTTACTACCTTGCCTAGGCACAGTGGTTTTTGCTCCTTGTGAGAGCATTTTTCACAGCAGTGCAGAAGGGATTTCAAATCCTTCTCCATGCCTGTTGAATCAAGAGAAATCTAAAGGAGCTTCCTGGAGTAGTGAGAACTGCTTTGTTTGTGGTTACCGAGTAGCTGCTAATAGCTCAAGTATATCCCTCACCCTGTCCTCCCAGTGGATTTTAGCCACCAATTGGACAGGAGCAGAAGGAGGGAATTCAGTGCAGTTCAGTCTGTGCAGTCCTGTGTAGTCTCATGGTGAATCCTGCCAGCAAAGTCATCTCGATTAATTAAGACCTGAAGGTTTCTGGGTCAAGTCCCTGTCATATCAGCACTGAGTCCTGGTCACGGCCTGTTCTCACAGAGCTAAGAAGTCACCAGAGCTCTGGACCCTTTTTTGAAGGGTTTGAAATTACTTCAGTTTGTGAGTTTTTCTGGTTTCTATGAAAAATGAAATGCACACTTAAAGCTGCCACATTTGACTTCTGCAGCTTTCTCAATAGAGCTGCACAAGAGGGTTCCCAGCACTGCATTC